TACTATATATATATAGTAAAACTTGTAACAGCTCTAAATCCTTTTGGGGGAAAATGTATGTGTTCTTAGTAAAATGTTCCCAAGTCTGATTCTTTGCCCTTTGTTCTCATCTGTGATTTTTGCTATAGTGAACACTGGAGAAATATGGTTCTGGTGTTTGACTGCAGTATAGCAGATGTTATCAGTAACGAGGATACCTGTAAAGTGACCCCAGAACAAATTCTCTATGGCAAACATCAACAAAAACCTGATTTCTAAGTATCAACATTTTTTTTTCCTGATAACCAACCAGAGGCAAATATCTTGTTATTTACTGTTTTGGTTTTTTGACATAAGCTCTCCTTCCTCTGTAGCCCAGGTGGGCCTTGAGCTCCTCACTGTCCTTCAGCCTCAGCTTTTAGAATGCCAGGGTTACAGGAGTGTGCTGTCAGGCCCGTCCATCGATCACTATTTTAGTGTTGAAATGCATAGCTGACAAATGCATCTACAAAAGGTGTTTCCCTTAATTCCAATAATTTCCTTAGTTTTACCTTTCGACAAAAAAAGTCAAGCATGCCAAAAGAATGGATATCTTTTTTTTTTCTTTCTTTCTTTTGCAGAATTGGGGATTGAACTCAGACCCTTGCGCTTGCCAAAGAAGCGCTTATTCCACTGAGCCATCTCCCCGGCCCGAATGGATATCTTTTGAATAATGTATTTCTTAAAATTAAACATAAAAGCTGGACATGGTGGCACATTTCCTATCACAGTACTTGGTAGGTAGGCTGAGGCAGGAAAATTTAACTTACGGGCAGCCTCAACTACATAATGACTGACACCCTGTTTCAAACACCTCCTCCCACATAAACAAAACAACCCAAAATTAATTAAATGTAAGAAATATTAAAGTCAACATTAAGTGTAAAACCTTTTTATTCAGTCTTCAGAACAAAGACTTTAACACTTAATACTTTTCACAGAGTCCTTCAGGGAAAGCTTTGGGAGAAATAAAGAACTATTTCAAAGTAAGCTAACCAACTCTGTGAATTAGTACATATTTGTCAGATCTATCACACACATACAGGAGAATTATCCTTCGCAGTATAGATAAAACAGACCACATGGAAAATTTAACAGTATAAACAACCACAAAACAAAAAAAAAAAGTAAAAACTAGTAGGACACAGTACAGGGATGGAAATACTGAAAAAGCTGAATTACCCTTTTAAAATGTAAAAACCTACAAAGGGCAAATAACTTTTCTAAGATTCAGCTCTTACATCACTTTTTCCTGTCACTTGGTACTGGTTTTCTTCTCCAGAGGAAAATTACCTTGGGCATACAGTATCTTACACCTCTGTTAATTGCTACTTAGCCTATAATACAAATGTTGTGTCCATATCAAAGCTTTAAAATAAATTAGTAGCTCTAAAAAAAATATGCATTAATGATGTCACAGTCCCTAATGTCATATTCTCTAAAAACTGTAACTACATCTCCTGAGTGTGTACTGCTACATGACTACCTGTAAAAAGTGAAATGACTAATAAGGTTAGTGAACATAGTATTGAATTTATACAGTTTTCTCTACCTACCTAGGCCTCAAGTATTCTGCTAAAATGGTAGTAAAGCAGATTATGAAAATTAAAAAGGCATAGTAAATACTGAGACTAAGATTTTTTTAAACTTCTGATACTAGCTGACCAAATGGACAACTTATATATGGATGCTAGTAACCAGGAATTTTGAACTTAACTGAATATTTCTTACTGCTTATGAAAAGCCCAAGACCATGTGTAACTCATTCAGATCAAAGGTACCTTGACACTGACTTCTGCGAAGGTTGTGAGAGAATTCTGTGAGTCAAATTTAGGGCTTAAAGAGTTCTGAGAAATACAAAGATGTGGAGAGATTAGTAGATCTTTTCAGAGGAAACGTAACTAAACTTGGACTATCCTCTCAGGCCAGAATTATTGCTGGTCCATAAAAAGCAAGATACATGAAGTAACATCAAACCAGGTAATTTCCCTGATTTTTTAAAGTAACATAGCTTAAAAAAACAATTCTAGTACCATCAATTTAGTCATCCTGCAGGTTTAACATTTCAAAATTATTCCAAAAGAATATCTAATGTCTAAATAAATGTCTAAAACAATGTCTAATATAACACTGCAGTCTATTGCCTTTAAAGTAGGATTTTGTATTTTGAATGGTTTACCAAAAACATGTAATTTTTAGGTAAATTTTGGTTATATAACCAAATATTCGTAAAACTTAGTACATTATTATTTTAACAAGTCACCTTTTAACCTATAAGCGCAGTTTTCAGTTTTACTCAATTTTTTAAAGTTGTAATTAACATACAGCAGACATTTCAATACTGCTACATATTCTGCCTTATTTGGCATAATGTAATCATATCCAGCATTTCTTTTGCACATTTACAGGTGACTTAAAATGAACAAACCAACTCTCTCTCTCCCCCTTACCCTCAATTAAAAATAAAGACAGAAAAAAATGAAAAAAACAAGATGAGATCGGTTCTAGTAGGGAACCTAATCAGTAAAACGTGGGGCTGTAGAAGTCAACTTTCTGTACTCATACTCTACACTACAAAATTAAGTTCTTGACACTATAGCCAAATACTTCCCAAGACCTTTCAAGAAGCTCCAGTGGACTTCTGGATTTGTTCTTTTAAAATCAGAATGCTCTGCCTTTGCTCTGGAGGCAGCATGGCAATCTGGTCTGCAGTCAGCTGGAGAACCTGCATGATCAAAGCTGCTTTTTCTTGATCCTGTGGAGTTACCTGGCTCTGCCCAGGACTAAAACTGCTAGGCTGGCTGCCACCTTGCTTGGCTGCACCCTGCATGCCCGCCCCCTGCATGCTGCCTCCAGGATTCCCCACTCCTGATATGCTTGGGACCTGTCTAGGTCCCTGAGGGCCACCTGCCCCTATATTAATAGGACCCGGTCCCTGGATCCCACCAGTCATAGGGCCTCTAGAACTAGGTCCAGGGCCCCGCATTTCTAATCCTCTTGCATCCATGCTTCTTGCTTCCATCCCTCTGGTCTCCATAGTGCAGGTTTCCATTGCTCTTCGCTCCATTACTCGGGTCTCTAAAACCTCTGTTTCCATCGCTCGAGTGTCCATCCCTCGAGCCTCCCTACCTCCTCTGCCATCCATAGGTAGACCCCTTTGATCTATCATGGGTCCCCTGGGCTCTCCAATTAGCAGTCTGGCATCTGCTATTGGCCCTCCTCTCATATCATGCGCAGACGGGCCTCGGTTGTCATGGCCAGAGGTATGGTGCATGGGAGGACCCTGATGGGGTGGACCCAGATAACCTCGGGGTTCTACTTCTCCAGTAACTGAAAGCAAAGTCCCTCCACGTGGGTCATTGGGAGCATCTCCTAACAGTCCTCGAGGTAGGCCAGCAGTAGGCATGGGGCCACGAGGCATAGGAGCCCTAGGATCTGCCATCTGCACTTGTCCCCGCTCTAAAGGGCCGGGGCCAACCCCTGGCATCCCAACCTGTGGCTGCATTGCCCCTCCAGGAGTTAAAGAACCAGGTCCAGGTCCAGGTCCAGAAACTGCGGCTGCTATCGGCCCTGGAGCTGGAAGTCCACCTTGGATAGGAGTCTGCATCAGAGGAGGAATGTCTTTCACAGGCCTTCTTGCCAAATGCTGAGGCTGAGGGGCTGGAGGATTCTGTTGGTTCAACAATACATTGGGTCCTGGGCATAGTCCTGGGCCAGGAGCAGAAACCGGGCCAGACACAGAAACAGAGCCTGGGCCAGAGACAGAAACAGGGCCAGGGCCAGAGACAGCAACAGGGCCTGGGCCAGAGGCACTCTGAGATTTGCCTGGAATCAATGGAGTGACATGTATCTTGCGATGCAGAATTTTCAGGGCAATCTCAGGATCCATGATTCTCATGACCACTTGTGCCTGCAACAGCGCATAAGCCAGTTGTGGGTTTTGAAGTAACATGTTTCGAGCTTCCTGGTGACTGTTTTGCACACAGAGCTTCATCTGCTTCATCAGCTCAAACATCTGCTCTGGAGGAAGGCTCGCTACTGCTCTGGTAATCGATTCAGGGGCATCTTCTGGATCGATGGGGTCCCCATAAGGAGAGTCAATGATGGGTGCTGCAGGCCCTAGGCTCTTTAACTCCTCCTTGTTCTTTTCGCTGGCAGCATTGTCCACCCGAAGCGCTCTCCCACTAAACTCACGCCCGTTAAGGTTCCGCATGGCACTAAGCGCGGTCTCCTGGTCTTGGTACTCGCAGAAGCCATAACCCTTGGGCTTCCCAGTCTCTCTGTCATACACGAGCCGGAAGCTGACCACGGAACCAACCTCCGAGAAAATGTCCTTCAACTGCTCCTCAGTTGCCTCATAAGGAATGTTTCCCACGAACACGGAACGTAGTGATCGATCCATTGCCGGGTCTCTCACTGACAAACTCGACATGATTCTAGTTTTCCACACAGCCGATAGCGGCTTCTTCCAAGAGTTGTCCTCTGCGACCCACGCTTCCGCTGAGCGACGGAAGAGCCTCTCAAAATCCGGGCAGGAACCTTAGGCACGCATTACAATGGTTCCGCTTCTCCGCGGAACAAGCGTCTAAAGGTCTCTCTAAGGCAGCTAACGTTTTCCTCCCCTAATCATTCGTGATTCTTATAGGAAAGTATGTTTTTTTTCTCATCTACTATTCCGCAGACTTTCCCTGCCGCGCCACCACCATCACAAAAGGCTCCCTTTTGAGTTCACCACAGTAAAAATGGCCGCTCGGACTTCACTATGGGAACCGGGCGTGTCGGCTTCTTCTGACGTCAGAGGCAGTTACTTGCGTTACACGGCGGGAAACCGTTAATCCCAACTGTTTGAGAGGGCGTATTGTTGGGTTAAATAAGCATTTTTCCCCCATAGCCCGGTTTCTTTAGCGCAGTTTAAATTATTTTAAAACTATATTCCAGAGAATCAGGACAAATACAGTATTTAAAGATTTAAACCCGTGTGCTAAAATAACATATAAATATATAAAATACAAAATAATACTTTAGGGAAAAAAAGGGGAGGGGAATGAACTGCCTGCCCCCACCCTACGCCCCCCGGTGCTCCTTCTAGCTGCAGTTAGTAAGTAGGCTTACTTAAAACTTCTAGGTTTTTCTCTAGGGACACAGGTAGCCGTCATCTTTTTCATATCGTGTGGGTCATTTCTTAATTGATTTTAATACTAATTAGTAACTAATAATAGTATTCTGGGGCTTCAGGGTATTGGTTAATTGAATTCATTTAATTTTTTTTTTTTTTTTTTTTTTTTTTTTTTTTTACTACAAGGTCTACAGGGTCTCACTATACAGTTCAGAGTGATCCTCCTGTTTTCAGCCTGGGATTACAGATTTGCACCACCATGCCTAGTCTCAGCGCGCCCCAGGGGCGGGGTAGGCACGGTACTCCAGGGAATTAAACCTGGTCCCTGCATCTCCTAAGCAGGTGCTTTAATCGGCTGAACTATCTGGCTGGCCCATTTAAGCATTCTTACATTATGGGTGTTTAGATTAGTTCTGTTTTTATTGTGGGCCTGTGATGTAGTAAGTCCAGCCCTGCTACCATGAAAAGAAAAGTAGTTTCTCTATTGTTGCTGATTGAGCAGACAGAAGCAAAAATAAAATGAACGTAACCTTCTCCCTTTCCCTGCTTTGGAACTGAAGCTTGCAGGTTAGATAAATTGCCTATGGCGGTGCAGCCAATAAAAAGTCAGATGTTTTTCTTTAACCTGCTTGCTTGTTTTTCAGTAGCAGAGATTGAACCCAAGATCTTCGCACTGACCTACATCTACGGCCCTTCTTTTTTAAATTTTTTTTTCCCTAGCACAGGTTCTAGCTATATTCTCCAGATGGGGAATGCAGTTTTGTAATCCTGCCTGTCTTGGTTCCTTTTCTGTTGTTTCTGGGACAAAGTACCAGACCCAAAATTAAATAAGGAAAGGTTTAAATTAACTCACATTGTGTAGAGGTTTCAGTCCGGACTTGGCTTGCTCCACGGCAGAGTGGCACTTGGCAGAGGGCAGCAGTTCGTGGCAGTAGAAAACAGCACAACAGCAAGAGTGAGGGAATACTGGCAACAGAGAGCAAATGTCTCCTTTATATTGTAGTTAAGCTACCCACCCTATCCTGGGTGTAACACTCACACCCATAATCCCAGCAGCACTCACACCCATAATCCCAGCACTGGATCATGAATTAATCACAAACTCTAGAAGTCTGTCCCATAACTGCAGGAGTCTTTGGGGAGACAACCAGATCCCAACTGTAACACTGCCTCAGCTTCTCAGAGTGCTGGGATAATACAGGCATGTGAGTCAGAATGCCTGGGTCACAGAAGCTGGAATTCTCATCTCCATCCATCTTGCATAACCCCAGAAGCATGCTGCCTTATGTGGTAATATTTGTAATGTGGCTAGTGCGCTCAAGATACTGAATTTTAAATTTTTATTGATTTCAGTATAAAAACTGATAGGTTGCTGGAACCTTGATATTTGGTATAACTTAGGTATAGAATCTATGCATGGATAAATACTGCTAATTTTAAATAAAAATTGTGTCTTTATAACTGGTACTACAAAATGGAACCTTAAAAGTTCAATTTTATTTTTCCTTTAGCCACAAGTGGCTTCTCCAAATTTCCTCCGGCCTAGGGCATAAAAGTCTACACCCATCTCACGTTAGCCTAAATGTACAGATGTCAGCAGCGGTCAAGTCCAATTTCACTTTCAGGGAAGGTTGAAACAGTCTTCATCATATCTGTTGTCTCCTGTATCCTCTCACCTGACTGCTCCTTGCTGTGAGACACCCTAACACACCTGTGCAACATGGATGTGATTAGAGGCAAATGGGCCCTGACATCTTTTCCCTAGATTTGAATAAATCCTTTTTCCTTTTTAACAAAAATAAGTTGCCTTTGATTTGGTCAAATGGGAGCAAACTGGAGTTTATGAACATAAGTGTCTGGTGACATTTCCAGATTCTGATTGAGATAATGTATATAAAATTTGTGCATGATTTTGAAGATTAATCACAACAAAAGTAGAAGTATTTCATAAATGTCGTATTGTTTACATGTTGAAATAGTATTTGTGATCATTGGACTAAATTGTTTTGAACTCGGTATCATTCATTTGATTTTTTTTTTTTTTTTTTTTTGTATAACCGGGGCTTGAACTCAGACCCTTGCGCTTGCCAGGGAAGCACTTATTCTACTGAGCCATCTCCCCAGCCCCTAAAAAAATCATTTGATCTTTTAAAGTGTATCTAGCAGAAATTTTAAAATTAGACACAAGGATTGCCTTGCATGTCTCCAAATACATGGATCACATTATGTGTTTCCAGTGTATTTGAAAACACACCATGGTATCCTCTGCTTCAGAGCTGATGGCTTATCTTCCAAACAGAGAATCATTTGATTCTCAATATGCAATTTCTCAATAAATAACTGAGTTATGACCCTTGAGTCTCAGAGCCATAAGTGAGTTCAGGCATCAGTTTCAAAGGTTGAAAGGTTAGCCATCGTCGTAGACAATTCATATGTAATCATCTGTTGAGTCCAGCAAGCCTGCAGATGATAATAAGCAAATAAAATGCATAGATAAATTTATGGGAAACTGCACAGATTGTCTGACGGTTTCTGTCCTGCTAGGAGCAGTGGTGTCTAAACAGGTCACTCTTGCTCCTTAGCATGCATCAGGCGCACCCAGAGCCACCTGCTGTTACACTGGACTCCGACTTAGTAGAGCTGGACAATTTGCATTTGTAGTAATACCTCGATACTCATGCAGCTGGAGTAGGCACCTTTAGAACTCAGTGCTGAGGACTTCAAGTCATTTACTTCGTTTGTAATAGAACAAATGAATTTATCATGTTTCATCCTGAGCACACGTGGCTAACACGTGCTGAGGTCACACTGAAGACTCCTTGGGCTCAGTGTGGGGTGAGCACAGAGGAGCTGAGGAATTCTGGGAACAAACAAGAACATCAGGATGACTGCAATGTGCTTTTTGTCACATGTTCTCTAGTCCTTTTACTCTAATCTACAAGAATAGAACTGTTATGACCCCGTAATTAGCTCCAGTGTGATCCAGGATGTAACTCAATGTGCAGGATCTCTAAACTAGTATTTATAACCCCAGTGACGAGAATCAGCAAGAGCTCCTAGCAATCTCTGCGTTGTTCCTATTACCACAGTCCAAGCAAAAACACATAGGTTCCTAGGAGCATACTTGGAAGGACATTGTGTGCTGCATGTTATTCCCAGAAAGTGTCAATTTTGGATATTTATAGCCTGGTGTATATTCTATACAGAAACGTATGTTTTATATTAAAGTGTGATTTATTCAACAAATCAAGGTATCAAGCATTTTTAAATTTATTTTTAAACAAACACATAAGGCATTACAGCCAAATGAGAAGGGTTCTTAAAACTAATCACCTGGCTGGGGAGTTGGCTCAATGGGATAAGGGCTTCCTTGGCAAGCGCAAGGGCCTGGGTTCAATCCCCAGTTCCGCCCACCCCCCAAAAAAGAAAGCTAATCACCTTGAGGAACTATAAACTTCCCAATTTTTCAAAATTATTTTTATACTTTTTTTTGAGAAAGGGTCTCTGGGGCTGGTGAGACGGCTCAGTGGTCTAAAGCACCTACTTAGAACAAGCTTAGCAAAGCACAGGGACTGAGATTCAATCCCCCAGCACCACATGCCAGCCAGCCCTGCCCCCTGGTGGGCTGAGCTGGCCCCCACACACACACACACACACACACACACACACACAAATTTAAAAAAAAAGAGAGAGAAAGGGTCTCACTATGCATTTCAGGCTAGCCTTGTGCTTACTTTTGTAACCTCCAGGCTGGTTCTTCTAATTTAACCTCCCTTGTGCTGGGATTATAGGCATATGCCACCACGCCTGGTTCCAGGGCTGTATGGTGGGCCCCCTCATCCAGGGCCCAAGACCTCATGGCCTATGGGGCTGGGGATTGAACTTGGGTCCTTGTGTTTGCCAGGTGAGTGCTTATGCCTCTGAGCTATTCCTCTGGCCCATATTTTTAAACTCTTATCCTGAAATTTCTTTAGACATACTAGAAAATCTGAGTCCTAATTTTAAAAATATATGCCTTGTTTCAACAATAAAATCAGGATTGTACAATTATTTATTATTTATTTATTTATTTATTTATTTCAGGGTCTACACGGTCTCACTACACAGATCAGACTCCTAACGATTCTCCTGTTTTCAGCCCCCCAGATGCTGGGATTACAGGCACATGCCACCACACCCAGTCTCAGTCAGCATCCCAGGGCAGCCCAAGGGTGGAGCCAGCACTGCACTCCGGATTGATCCCGGGGCACTGTGCTCTGCCTAAGCAGGTGCTATAGCCTGCTGAGCTATCTGCCCCGCACAGGGTTATACAATTAAATCATCCACATTTCTAATACAATTTGGCCAAAATGTGCTCTTTTCTTATTTCTGTATATCAAACTTCACATCAAAATATAAAAACTCTATAGGTTCTCCTAGTCTATATAACATATTATTTTTTACAAGTAGTCATAGATTTAATTAGCCAAATTCTAGACAAATAGTAAAGACAGTTACATAATGATGGATCTTTTCTTTCTCTTCCTGGTGCCAGGAGTAGAAGCCAGGCAGAACATGATACATGCCAAGCACATGCTTTACCACTGAGCTACACCCCTGAACCAGGGGCATTTTTAAGCAAGTGTATGGGTTCTTCAAGGGAGCGGTGGAAACAGACTCCTCTGCAAAATTTTCCCTTATCTTCCATCTCCTTTAGGTTGGAAGTAAATCCATTTTCCTTTAGACACAAACTATTCCTTATCGCATTTAGGTGGGGGGACAGTAGTTCCTTTGCCTTTTAGTAGAACTGTGGCTTTGCTGCTTCAGTCATTCAAGGAATCGTTGAGTTTCCTTTTTATCAACTAACAAAATACCTTATACTTATTATCTCATGGAGTAGTGGCAGCACATCAATGCAAAAGAAAGCTTGCTGCAGCAGAAGTTCTGTACATTGATCCCTGGCCCTATACACTCAGTACCTGGGAGACAGTTCAGACATGCAAACTTCTCGGCCCTCCCAAACATACTGGATTATTAACACAGAAGTCCCTTTTACAAGTCCCCCCGGTAATCCTAAAGTCTTCTATGGTTGGAGGACCACTGGACTACAGGAAAAATCATAGCTTAGACAGACAGGGAGATAACTACATGCACTCCTGTATTCTGAGCCACAGCAATAAAGCTTAGGATAGTGGGTGTTTATTTTGCACTTGTTGAATGAATGATTAAGTGACTTTAGGGTGGGCTAATTCACAACCATTTCATCTAGGAAGAAGCCTGTGACAGTGAGTAACACTCTGCTAGTTCTAGAAGAGTCCTGTTACCACGTTGTTTGCCATTTTATTGCTAGGTTAGTGATAGTTCTTCCAGGTTACTCTGACAAACTGGATATGTAAAGAACGATGTAGAAAGGAAAGAGTCTGGGAAGATCTAGATCATCAAGGAAAGCTTCCTGATGGGGGTAGGATTGAGGGATGGGCATAATCTGGTGAAGAGGGAAAAAAAAAAGATGAAGAGAAAATCAAAAATCTAGGAGCTAAATTTAGCCAAGGTATAAAATTGGGATCTGGTATTTTTATGTCCTCAGAGAAAAACAATTGAAGTTGATAAGATGTATAATAAAAGAGGCTTCTGAGGCAGATAGCCTAAAAGTTTTGGAGGTTAGCTTCCTGAAAATATAGTTGAAGTAAGAGACAGTAGGCTTCTTCTTCACCTTTTTTTTTTTTTTTAACATGAAATGTGGTGTTATGGTTTGTGTCTAGTTGTCTCCTCAAAGCCTCATGAAATTATGGGGCAGACTTCTAGAGTTTGTGATTAATTCATGATCCACTGCTGGGATTATGGGTATAAGTGCTGCTGGGATTATGGGTGTGAGTGCTGCTGGGATTATGGGTGTAAATACTGCTGGGATTATGGGTGTAAATGCTG